TTGTGATCCCTCCTCTTAGGAGGTAGAGGTAGACAAGTCAGAGGTTCAGAGTCATCCTAAGCTATTTAGGAAGTTTGAGGCCAGCCTGGGCTATATAAGACCCTGTGGAGGAAAACACACACCACACACACACACACACACACACACACACACACACACACACACAGCTTGCTGCTTCTGAGCTCCCAGAATGCACCAGGGAGGCCTGTGCCCTGTGGTACTCACTTCCCCAAGTTCCTGGAAACCATAAACAGCCTAACATATATACTGATACACAGCTTCCTCATGAGTGGTCCTAGCTGGGGTCCAAGAAAACAGCACCTTTTAAGGCAGTGGTTCTCAACCTGTGGGTCCTGACCCCTTTGTGGGTCAGAAGACCCTTTCCTAGGGTCACCTGAAACCATTGGAAAACACAGGTATTTACATTACAATTCATAACAGTAGCAAAATTACAACTATGAAGTAACAACAAAATAATTTTATGGTTGGGGGTCACCATAACATGTCACAGCATCAGGAACCACTGCTTTTAGACATTCAGCCCCAGCTCGGCTCCCAGACTCCTCTGAAACAACATCCACAGACCAAGCTTCTGCCTCTCTGTGTCCGAGGATATAAGCATGCTTATCTCCCTTCCAAAGGGGTTCTACCACACCCAGATAACCAAACCTTTCCTCAGGTCATCTGAGACTGTGGCTCTTCCTGGAACATGAGTCACATGCATCTCAAAGCTTCCTTCCAGGAAAACCCCCCGATGCCTCCTACCTGACTTCCCTCCCATTAGGATGTGTGTGCAGAAGAACGAAGCTTGTTATAAACACTGCCCTCCATTTCAATGACCATTACTGAATGGTAGCAAGTGGCAAGGGCTCCTGGCTTACTGCTTCACATCTGCAGGCTAAAAGTCCAGGGAGAGCGCCCTGGGCTGATGGTGGTCCTCACAGGTCATCAGCCACACTCCTGAATCGGGCTGCAAATGTGCCACCCAGCAGCCACAGCTATTGAGCACTGAATGGTTAATCTTCCCTGTCAACTTGACTGGATTTAGGAAACACTCTTTTAGGGGGTGTCTATGAAGGTTAGAGAACCCCTATTCTTCTGTGTGTGTGGGGGGTGGGGGGCGGTTTCAGGACAGGGTTTCTCTGTGTAACAGCTTTGGCTGTCCTAGAACTAGCTCTGTAGACCAGGCTGGCCTCGAACTCACAGAGATCTGCCTGCTTCTGCTTCCTGCGAGCTGGAATTAAGACATGCACCACTCAATCTTATTTGTAAACATTTGCAAATGTAATAGGTATTTCAAGTTTTTGGAATTTTTTTTCTGTAAGTTTAGGAGACAAGAGAGGGCTCAGAGAATAAAGTGCTTGCCATGAAGGCATGAATATTCGAGTCGGATCCTTAACAACAGCATACAAGCCAGGAGTAACAGTGCTTCTGTAACCGCAGCTCTGCGGGGGAGCAGAGGGCCCTCAGCAAATCAGTGTGCTCCAGGTTCGGTGGGAGGCCCCATCTCAGAAACAAGGTGGAGGGGCTGGAGAGTTGGCTCAGCAGTGAAGAGCACTTGTTAAGGAGGACCTAGGTTCGATTCCCAGCACCAACATGGCAGCTCACAACCATCTGTAATTCCAATTTCAGGGGACCCAATGCCATCTTCTGGCCTCCTTGAGCAGCAGGCATGCATATGCATAAAATAAAAATAAATAGACCAGACTGGCCTCGAACTCACAGAGATCCACCTGCCTCTGCTTCCCAAGTGCTGGTTTTAAAGGCATGCACCTTTTTTTGTTTTATTTATTTATTTATTTATTTATTTATTTATTTATTTATTTATTTATTTAGTATGCCATGTTCTGCCTGCATGCGTGCCTGTGTGCCAGAAGAGGGCACCAAATAGAGGCACCAGATCTCATCACAGATGGCTGTGAGCCACCATGTGGTTGCCGGGAATTGAACCCACAACCTCTGGAAGAGCACCCGTGCTCTTAACCTCCAAACCATCTCTCCAGCCCCTTAAAAATTTTAATCTAAAATGTTTGCAAAGGCTAGAAGTATACCTCGGTGACAGAGCGCTTGCCTAGCATGTGAAAAGCCCTGGGTACAATTCCCAGCACTGCAATAATCATCATTTTTAAAAGTGATGATGTTACATTAGTTCTACATTGCTAAGTTATAAATTCTTATCAACTCAATTACTTAAAACAGTTCCCACTTCATTTCCCTAAGTCAGAAGCCCGGCTCAACTGACTTTTGTTGTTGCTGTTGTTGTTTGGTTTTTCAAGACAGGGTTTCTCTGTGTAGCTTTGTGCCTTTTCCTGGAACTCACTCTGTAGTCCAGGCTGGCCTTGAACTCACAGAGATCCACCTGCCTCTGCCTCCCGAGTGCTGGGATTAAAGGCGTGCGCCACCACCGCCCGGCTCAACTGACTTTTCACAGGAGAAGACATATGTCAGTGTGCCTGGGCATTTGCATGAAAGATAGCCGCTCACCGCCCAGGACAGACTTTTAAATCTGTTTCTGATGGCAGATTGGGCTTGCACCCAGCTTCCCACCTTTCATCTGCATTTCATCCATTTCAAATCCCTGAGAGCCATGGGAACACTGGAAGCAGTCACATACAAATCCACTTAAGACTCTCTTAGATGACGTCCTCTACATCCTGTGAATGCAGCCCAGCTTGCCTTCTGATTGTCTCCTAGGGGCCTGCCTGTCCCCATTTGTCTGCTGAGACCAATTAACTTTGACAATGTCTGTGAGCAGTGGAGACAGAGCTGTCCCTTCCCCTCACCAGGAGTTTGGGGCTGCAACTAAAATGGTGTTTGGCTTGTCTTATCCAGAATGGGGAAAGGAAGCCATGGCCTGCCCCCCTGGGCAAAGCACAGCCCAGGTGCCTGGTTAGTAAACAGCTAATCGATTTGACCGGCAGAAGAAAGATCTGTGCAAGAGAGCTGGAGAAAGGTGGAGCAAGTGAGGCGACTCGGTGGGCAAAGGAGCTTGCCGGCACAACAAGCCTATGGACCCGAGTTCTCCCTGGGGTACCTACACTGCGGAAGGCAGAGGGAACCAAGTCCTGCAAGGTGTCCTCTGCCTTCCACACACATGCCAGGAATGTGCACACACACATAGATGCACACTAAAAATTATAAATAATAGAATTGTAAAAAATCACATGTGCACAAGAGCACACACACACACACACACACACACACACACACACACACACAAAGTGTAAATCAAACTACCCCTCCTCTGACACTGCTTCTGAAAATGCACCAAATCATCTTGTCTTATGCATGGCTAACTTTTTAGAATAAGGCACCCGGCATATCAGTAATGACTACAAACTGGGGTTTCTTTCCTTCATTTTTGGAGGAAAGCAATGTTCCTTGTTATTTTTCCAGGCTCAGGTTTGGGGAAAATACTGTCTTCCTGGCTTCTCAAGGGTGTTGCTCTGGCCCCTATTTTAGAAAATGGGGCTGAGACTTAATGCTTCTGTAGGCCACTGGGTGGCCCATAGACGGGGTTTTCCTAATTGGCTCAGAGAGAAACTATCAGGGTTGTAGAAGCTGGGAGTTCTGGAACACCAGGCTTTAGACCTCCTAGGTGGGAACCAGGGGCAATGGGGTGAAAGACAAGAAAATAAGCAGTTTACCATCCAGTGTTAGCAAAATAAACTCTGGGGCGGGGCAGTGGATACCAGGATCTGTTCTTCAGTTCAGGGCCCCAGCTGGAAGCCAGGATGGGGACAAACAGTGCCAGGAAGGACCTCCCAGAGCAAATGACATTCAGACTAAGCCCAAAGAAGCCAGTTCAAGGGCACTGTAAGAACCACCAGTCAAGTCATAGGAAACAAAATATAAACACCCAGAAACAGTGAAATATGCAAATCCAAACAACAAAATACAGTTTTTTTTTTTTTCTTTCCGAGACAGGGTTTCTCTATGTAGTCCTGGCTGCCCTGGAACTTGCTCTGTAGATCAGGATGGCCTCAAACTCACTGAGGTCAGCCTGCATCTCCCTCCCAAGTGCTGGGAGTAAAGGCGTGCACCACCACTGCCCAGCCCAAAATACTATTTTTCAGGAATCAAAAAAATCTTCGGATGTTAGCTGCAGCCAGCATGGACAAGTCCAGGGAGAGGAGATCTTTACATAGTTTTGCAGTAAAGGGAGAAAGAAAAGGGACAGGGTGGGATCTGGGAAAACATTTCGGAAGCATGCATGAATTAAACAAACAAGTTCAGTGCTCAGTATTTACAAGGATACGCCCTCAAGTGTCCCCAAGTTATACTTGCAAGGGAAGACACTGTAGAAACGTGTCCTGCTGGGATCCGTGATAAAATAATTCCTGCTATGTCTACACAGGTAGAGAAATAACGTAAATCACACAGAAACAAATGGGGTCTCCTCCTAATCCCTTGACCATTCCTCCTCACCCTTCCAGTCTGCCAGTCGGTATGCAGGAATCTGTCCTTTCAAACCCCGGCAGGGAACTAGAGGTGTATGCAGAGTAAGTTCTGTTTGTCAAATTCCCAGTGAAAACAGCCATTCGCTTGTTAATGAAGGAGCAGGGGCCTGCAGGGGAAATAACATCCCGACAGAGTTTCAGGAACTGGCGAAGAGGCTGGAGGCTAAGTGTGACTGGGGTGGGGGTGGAGAGAGTGAGTGTGGACAGAATTCCCAGGCCCGCCCACGGTCACGGTCTGGGTCTGCTGGCCTGTATGAATGTGCTGAAACTATTAACGAAGTAAGTCACCATAGCGGCCTATGTCAGGAATGGAGGAAAGTTGTTGCTTTTGTGTTTTGTATTTCTCTTCTCTTTTTTTTTAAGATTTGTTTTTATGTGCGTTGATGATCTGCCTGCATGTCTGTCTGTGTGAGGGTGTCAGATCTTCTGGAACTGGCATTGCAGACAGTTGTGAGCTGCCATGTGGGAGCTGGGAATTGAACCTCGGGTCCTCTGGAAGAGCAGCCAGTGCTCTTAAGCGCCGAGCCTTCTCTCCAGCCCTGTTTTGTATTCAGAGGCTGTCTTAGCTGTGCTTGTTAATACTTGCCTGTAATCCCAGAATTTGGAGAAACAGAGGAAAGAAGATAACTGAGTTCCAGGCCAGCCTAAGCTTGAGTGAGATCCTTTCTCAAAAGAAGGGTTAGAACAAATATAAAGTAGGGTCTTGCCCTGTAGCACAGGCTAGCCTTAAACTTACTCTGAAGACCAGGCTGGCTTCTAACTTACTCCAATCCTCCTGCCTCCACCTCGTACAGGCCTGTGCCACCATGACCTGCTTTTGTGACAGACAGACAGACAGGTTGTTTCTAATACCTGGCTGCTCATGTCGAGTATGAGAATAAATGTAAAATATTAAAGTAGATGGACCTTGTACCCCACGGCTAATAATAAGTATCTGACTTTTGGGTCCTTGAAGCCTTGCCCCGTGGCATTCCACACACTTGTCACACACATGTGCTTCCTTGGACTCTGAAACCTCTCACCAGAACAGCAGCCTCAGTGCCTTTCTCAGAAACGGAGGTGACCGCCATCGTCTTAACTTCCGAAATGAGAACTTATCCGCTATAGCGCTTTCAGCGAAGGGGGTATCTCGGGCTTGTATGTTTCTCTGGGAGTTGTGCCACAGGCCTGCCCAGCATCTAGCTATAGAGAAATACTACTCCAGATACAAGGCGAGGCACTCCCCATCCCCACACAGAGATAGAGACACAGAGGAGGAGGTGGGGGGAGGGGGAGAGAGAGAGAACCAGTAAATTGCAGCTCATCCACTTAGCATATTGGGCATGTCTGAACACAATAGAATCAACGACCCTCGGCTTTAAGCTTCAGGTCCCTGCCGGTCCCCGCGCCCACCCGCAGGCTCCGGGACGCACGTTTGCACTTCAGATGCCGCTGGAGAAGATTCGCTCTCACTCCCCGACTCCAATCCCTCCCGGACCTTGACCTTGACCTTGCTCCTCACCCAAACAAGTCCTAGCGGCTCGCCAGCGCATCTTCCCTAGCCACCCAAGCTTCCCCAGCAACCAGCTCCACGCGGCTTTTTTTAGCAAATTCAGAGTTAAAATTCGATAATGAAGTATCAAATGCCTACATATTTATACATAATGCTTAGCGGTTCCTAAATAATGACTTTCGTGTTTGAACGGCCCCGGTAGTATAACTTGACTCTCTCTCTTCGGCCCCCTTTTTCAAGAGAAAAGAAAACCTGTATCTAATCAGACACTGCTGCTTAGCCAAGCCCACCGCCCGGCCGGCCTTGCAGTGTGAAGGCCTGGTCATGGGCGTGGGGCTCCGGTCTCCCCGCCCACCTGAGGGTCCTCCCGCCACCCCAAGGGTTTCTAACGAAGGAAGGAAGATCTCTCGGAAGTCCTTTCTCAAGGTCAAAGCCTTCAGTAGGCGGGCGAGGCCCCATCCCCCCGAGTCTGCTTGGAGACCTTGGCTGTCGACTGCCCTAAGATTCTCTGGGACAGGCGCATTTCTCATCTGGGATATCTTTCTAATTTACTATTTTTCACTTCGGGAAATTAACCTTTGGGTGTTTGGGGAATTACTTTATGAATTAAAGCCATTTGCTAGTACTGTTTTCCTTGTATTTTTCTCCAACATTTTTACGACCCGTGGAAGATGGCGCACTTCTGGTCCAGGTATGAACTAACCTTGAATTTTTGATTGCTGGAGATTGCAACTTCAGAAAACCATGTTCTATAGATGCTTCTCTGATTTTATCTTGCTTGAACCTTAAAAAGCTTCCGGTAACGTTGCTGCTTTTCCTGAAGACCCTGGAGCTTTGTATCTACTTATGTACTACTTTGCCATTGACTTTTTAAAATAGTCAATCTTTTTAAAGTTGTGTGTGTGTGTGTGTGTGTGTGTGTGTGTGTGTAAGGATGCAGTGGTACGTGTGCGTGGAGGTCAGAATATGACTTCCTGGAGTGAGATCCCTGTGTGGGTCCTGGGCATCCAACTCAGACTGTAAAGCTTAGTGGCCGCCACCATTTCCAGCTCACTCATCATAAATAATAATTAGTGTTGCAGCCAAATTACGATTGCCTCTAAAAGTGAATGGTAGAGACATTCAATACTTTACAAACCATTAAGAATAACAAATTAAACTTGGACCCATTTTAAATGACAGGACAGGTTTTTATCTAGTGGTGCTGGGGAACAGACCAGGATCTGCACATGCTGGGCAAGTTTTCCACCCTGGCCCGTACAGGCATTTAAAAATTCATACATGTAAACTGTACCATGGGGAAAAAATGTGCAGTTTGGGCAAAGTAGGATTTTTTCGAACAGGGAATTTCTGCTCCAGTTTTGTTCCTGGAGGCAGGACTAGAGAAGGAAGGTGGCAGTCTTCGCTTCTCAGTGGCCTGTGGTCTTGTGACGAGAAGGCCCCGGTTTCTCGTGCTTTGTCTCCCTGACTGATGTCCAATTTCCTTTCTCTAGTCTGGTTTTACTTGTGGCCGTTTCCAGTGCGTTTGAATTTGGACTCATTGCTGGTGAGTGTTTTCATTTGTCTGGGGCTCAGGGTTTTTCGTTTTGTTTTGTTTTTTTGCGGGGTGGGGAGCTTCAAGACAGGGTTTCTCTGTGTAGCCCTGGATGCCCTGGAACTCTCCATGGAGACCAAGCTGGCCTTGAACTCACAGAGATCCACCTGCCTCTGCCTCCTGAAAGCTGGGACTAAAGGCATGCGCCACCACTGCTGAGCTGGGATTCAGGTTTTTGAGACTGGAAGTCACAGAGCCCTGGCTGTCCTGGGATTCCTTCATCCCCTGCCTCCTCCACCACCCACCCCAGTGTCTCCGCCACACCCAGTGAGTTTTGTACACACATGCACATTTTTGTTGTGGGGTAAAGGCCTTGTAGCTTAGGAATTCACAGTACAGCCAAGGCTAACTGAACTCCTGATTCTCCTGCCTCTGCCTCCCAAGTTCAGTACTGAATCTGGCCGAATTATTTTTTCCTTTTGAGCACCATCTTTTTTGTTGTTGTTCACATGGTGCTGGGCATTTGGCCCTGGGCTTCGCACCTCCTGGACATACTTCCAGATTACCCTCCACTCCATCCCCACCTCCTCTGTGCTGAGAGTAAACCTTATGCATCCTAACTACACTGCTGTTGAGCTCAGCCGTGGTGTTTGGGACAGGGCCTCTCGGGCTGGCCTCTAACTCAGGAGCCTTCCTCCACCTCCTGAGTGCTAAGGTCACAGGCATGTGCCGCCATACTTGGTGGTGGTTGGTGGACGGTGCTTCTTAGGAGCACCAACAATATTTTATGCGGGGCGCATCTTTAATCCCAGCACTTGGGAGTCAGAGGTAGGTGGATCTCTTTGAGTTCGAGGCCAGCCTGGTCTACAGAGCTAGTTCAAGGACAGCCAAGGCTATACAAAGAAGCCCTGTCTCGGAAAAAGAAAAAGAAAAGAAAAGAAATTCATGTGGCCTGAAATACAGGGTTGGGCCACCGTGGGCCGGCTATTCCATCTCCGAGAGACCTGGCCATCAGAGATAACAGCCTTCGGAACCAGGAAGAACCTGCGTTACGATCTCGCTCTTTCCAGTTTGTGCCTCCCATGGGGATAGAGAACAGTAAGACTTGTTTGCCTTAATTCATCTCTGTTCTGCCCTGATACATCTCAAATGTAACTTTTTAGCACTTAACCTAAGAGAGTGGGCGGGTGTGTGGGTTAGCGGCTGGGTTGCCTTGTAGTGGCTGGGGTGTAGAGATGAGTGAGATGTGTGTGTTGTGTCACATCCCTGAAAGTCAGGTTTTTTTCCTGATGCGACTTTGTGCTGGGGACTGGTAACCATCCCTGGTCTGAACGTGAAAATGATTTCCCTAAGAGGTAGAGTCTTATGCTATGGGCTCTTCAGAGTGCTAGATGGACCTTGGTTTATGGTCTGTCAGTCCTCTACCCACCCCATGACTTCTTTTACATTTCAGGTAAGTTGCTTAATAAAACTTGCTGCCTGAATGGAGGGACCTGTATCCTGGGGTCCTTCTGTGCCTGTCCACCTTCCTTCTATGGACGCAACTGTGAGCGTGACGTACGAAAAGAGTAAGCTGTTGGGAGGGACAGGACTGGGCGGTGGGGAGGGCAGGGAGAGTGAGGAATTCACTGCCGGGGTTCTCTCTCTTTCACAGGCACTGTGGGTCTGTCCTCCACGGCACCTGGCTGCCCAAGAAGTGTTCCCTGTGCAGGTGCTGGCAAGGCCGGCTCCACTGTTTTCCTCAGACCTTTCTACCTGGCTGTGGTAAGCAACTGTCCCTCTTCAGTCCTGTCGGGTCCCTTAGACACCCAAAGGACTCCCTTTCTGTCTCCTGTTCTGCTAGGGTCCAACTTCTTCCGGGTCTAACAGGACCTGCCAGTCAGGCCTCTGCTTATAAAATAGCGTAAGGGCTCCAAAGGGCATAGAGCCTAGGAATCCTTGGTGGGTGCTCCCTCAAACACTAGGTCCTTAGGGAGTGCTCCCTTAGATGTGATGTCCCTGGGAAATGTTTCTTTAGATGTGGTGTCATAGGCATATAAGGAGGTCCTTAGGTAGTGTCCTCTTAGATGTGGGACCTTTGGGGTGCTCCCTCAGATGCAAGGCCCCTGATGGATGTTCCTGAAGGATGGGTTTTGATGGAGAATGCTTTCTCAGATACAGAGCTGTGGGTGTGTAGTCCCTGGTACAATGGATCTTGAGGAGAGCTCTCAGGTGTGGGGGCCTTGGTAAGGGACATTCCTCAATCCATACTGTCACACTACCTTTGGAGTTCCCTCAAGTCTACACTGGTAATAGGTAGGCTTCTGCTGAACACCGTGAACAGAAAAAGAGCTTGCCACTTGAGCATCGAGAACTGCCCTCTGGTGTCGTCTGCCCTTGAGCAGAAGATCCCCACAGGCACCAGGCCAGCCACTCAGAACCCACTGCTACAACTAATCCTTCCTGTGCGCTGGTGGGTTTGGGTTGGTTGTCTGGGGTGTTTTGTTGTTATTTTTGTCTTATTCTGAAGCCCAGGCTGGTCTGGAACTCACTCTGTACCTAAGTTGACCTCTGACCCCCATCAGTCCTCGTGCCTCAGCCTCCATAGTCTGAGATTACAGGAATAATTAATCCACCAGCCTTGGGTCCCAGCGCTTTGACCCCACCGGTGTCCTGCAAACATTTTTTTTTTTGAGACAAGATCTCACCATGTAACCCTGGCTGGCCTGGAACTTACAGAGATCTGCCTGCTTCTGTTCCCAAGTGCTGGGATTAAAGATGTGCCCCACGTAAAATATTGTTGGTGCAGGGGTTTAAAGTCTCGAGCCACCAGGACTGGTTCTTCCTGCACCCTAAGGGTCTCTGGTGGGTGGTCACAGCACCCTTCGTCTTACAGATCTGAAGGAGACGATGGCAAGAGTGACACAGACGAGAGCCGAGGAGCCAGTGTCGTCCCCACCCCACACGGCTGGGTTTTTTCTGAGCAGCTCACATTTGAGCTCTCAGAATCAAATGTGTGCAAGTCATAAGGTTAATAAAAGTATACCTTCATCTGACACAGGATGGGGCCCTCTATCCCCCGTACAGGGTCTGTGTCTTTACTATTGCGTTTTGGGTGTTGTGCATAGATTTTATTAGCAGAGGATAAAATGATCAGATGAATAGGGACCATATTTTCTCCCTGCAATTTGGGGTCCAAGATGTGTTGTCCCCTTACCAGAGCCTAACCAGGGTCTGCACCAACATTGGAATAGAAAGTATCCAGGGAAGAGCCCATCAACAACAGATCTGCAGCAACTTTTGATGAAAGCTCTTCAGGGGAATAAGGGAGTCATGTAGTTAGTGCTGCTGATCTTGTGGGCACACTGTCCTCATCCAGTCAGGCCCCGCAGAGTTCTGGATCTAGATAGACGTGTGCTCGGGCAGTGGAGGCAGCAGGGAAGCTGGAGGGACTTCCCTAATGATCAAGCATCTCTGCCTTTCAGGTGGTCATGTGATGGACCGGGATCTCCCAGCATCCAGGACTCCAGGACGAGCACCGTCTGTGCTGACTACTTTCATGCTGGCTGGCATTTGCCTTCTTCTGGAAACGAAAGTGTAGCTGTCTGTCATAGGAACTCAATGCCAGCATCCTAACAAAGATGATCATTTGTCAATGATTTGGAAGTAATGCTCATAGTGATCCCTGGCACGGCCCCCCCCAACTCTAACTAGGCCTCACCTCTGCACAGCTCTGCCCCTTTCTGGCTGTGTTGGCAGTCAAAGCCATAGCCTGTGTGTGCCAAGCGCTCTAACACTGAGCTACATCCCCAGCCTAAAAACCATTCTACTTAAAAACTGTACTACAGGGTGGGGATTTAGCTCAGTGGTAGAAGGCCCTGGGTTCAGTCCTCAGCTCCGGGGGTGGGGGAGTGGAACTATACCACATGGCCACATCCTGTGGGTTTTTTTTTTTTAATTTATTTTATTTTATTTTTATTTTATGTGCATTGGTGTTTTGCCTTCATGTATATCCGAGTGAGGGTGTCTGTCCCCTAGAACTGGACTTACAGGCAGTTGTAAGCTGTCATGGGTGCTGGGAATTGAACCTGGGTCCTCTGGGAAAGCAGCCAATGTTCTTAACCACTGAGCCATCTCTAGCCCACATCTTGTGGTTCTTGATAAAAGTAATTCTTAACATTTCTTGCTAATACTTTTAAGCAGTTCTTAAGATTATTAAATCCTGATATGCAACTGAGAGTAAATTCAGAGTAGGTGAAAATTAGTTAAGAAATTGTCTTTTAAGAAAACAAAAGTAGGGGCTGGAGAGATGGCTCACAGGTTAGGCGCACAGGCTGTTCTTCCAGAGATGTTGAGTTCAATTCCAAATAACCACATGGTGGCTATCAGCCATCTATCTGTATTGAGATCTGGTGCCCTCTTCTGGCCTGCAGGAATAGATGCAGTCAGAGCACTGTATATGTAATAAATAAATCTTTAAAAAAGAAAGAAAGAAAGAAAAGCCAGGCAATAGTGGTACATGCCTTTAAATCCAGCACTCAGGAGGCAGAGGCAAGTCCAGCCTGGTCTAGAGAGTCAGTTCCAGGATAGCCAGGGATACACAGAGGAACCTTGTGTTAAAAAACCAAAAAAGAAAAGCAATAGGCCAGGCATTGTGGCACATGGCTTTAATCCCAGCACTCAGAAGTGCTGAAAGAAGAAAAATTATCTTACAGGGAAGTTGTAGAAGTAACTCAGGTCTGTGCGGAGGGACCAACAAGATAAGAAGGAAGCAACTGAAACTGATTGGGGAAAACAGAATGGATTGTTTGATGCTTAGGAAGGGACAGAGAAGCGAGTTAAAAGGTCATCCATCCAAGTACGGTGTCGCACATGTTAATTAGTAAGTGCAGCTCCGGAGGCAAAGACAGGACTCCCAAGAATCCACGGCCAGCCTGGGCTACGTAGTGAGTTCCAGGTCACTACTACATCGTTTCTCCAAGCTATGCAATTGTATCAACTGTTGCAGAGGAAAGAAAATGTTTATAATATTAGTAGTAAGCCAAATTATAAAATGACATGCTGTTTTTATAATACATTGTTTAAGAGTATGCACATAAAAGTGGGAACTCTGTTGATCAACATGTGAGGAGTGGTTATTTCTAGGTGGTAAGGTGAACAATATTTTGTGGTGGTGGGTTGCTTTTTTTCCCCTCTCTCTGTACTTAAAAATTTTTCAAGTTCTCCATAATGGGAACATATTTCGTTTGTTTTCATAAGGAACACACAGGCCAGATAAGCACCAAGCGTCTAGCGGATGCTCAGATTGTTGGCTTTTTTTGGGGGGGCGGTGTGGTTTTTGCTTTTTCTTAGTTTTTGAAACATGATCACACTTTGTGTGTAGCCCAAGCTGGTCTTGAATTTCTCATCAAGTAGCCAAGAATGACCTTGAATTTCGGGTCTTCATTCATGAATGGAGGATGGTAGGCATGTTTCCTCAATCCCCGTTTTATGTGGTGCTGAAGATCAAACCTAGGGCTTCCTGTGTGCCCTCCAAGCGTTCTGCCAGCTGAGCTACATCCCCAGAGCACCATCCCACTCCCACCCCCGAGTATCAAAAGCCAGGTATTGTGGCACACATTTGCAATCTCAGCACTAAGGATGCTGAGACAGGAGCCAGCTCAGGATACAAAGTGGGACTGTCTCAAAGCGGGGAAAAAAAAGATGGGGATGTGGGCTGGAAAGATGCCTCAGTGTTAAGTCTTCACTGTGTTTACAGTGGACCCCAGATTTGGCTCCCAGTACGCCTACATGGCAGCTCACAACCACCTATAATTCCAGTTCCAAGGGATTCAAAATACTCTTCTGACCTCTGGTCTCATGCACCCAGGCACATATACACATAAAATTATAAATCTTGGGGCTGGAGAGATGGTCCAACAGTACTTGCTGCTCTTGCAGAGGACCTAGATTTCAGGTTCCAGCACCCATGACAGCTTACATGGCCTCCATAACTCCCATTGCAGGGGCTCTGGTGCCCTCCTCTGCCCTCTACAGGTGCCAGGCACACAGTGTATTTGTGTGCACAAAGGTAAATAGTTTTTATTCAGCTCTCGTTTGCGTGGGAATGATGCATGGCTATGGTAGTGAGGATGCCACTGTACCTCACCCTGTCTTCTGCTGCTGCTGCTGCTGCTGCTGCTGAGTCGTTTGTATTTATTTTGTTTCCGTTATATCAACTTTTTCTTTTTGGGAGAGGGAGAGGCTGATCTGCAACATAGAATTCTCCTGCCTCCGTTTCTCAATTCCCAACCTCATTAAGTACATTTACATTGGTTTATACTCGTTACCCAACCCACCATGCTAGGATTTTATCATCATTCCAAACAATCTGCTCCATTAAACACTGTGTTCCCCTTCACCCTGGTTTCCCTCAGCCTCTGATAACCTTAACTGTCTGAATTTGATCCCAGATGCCATGAAGAAGTGGAGTCAGTGTTTGTCTCTTCACGTCTAGTGTAGTTCACTTAGTGGGTCAGTAAGTTCTGATCATGTTGGAGCATGTACAATGCACACATGCCGTACAGGCAAACACATACAAACAAAATAACTTTTAAAAGGTACAGAGCAATTGAGAGACGCTTGACATTGACCTCCGGCATCCACATGTGCACACATGAAATTACATACACACACATACAAAATAGGCACATAAGTGTTAAAGAATTGAGAACAAACAAACCTTTGTGCTGCTGGTGGTGGCGCACACGGCTTTAACCCCAGCACTGTAAGCCTGGTTCACAGTCTTGTCTGTGAGAGTCCTTTGCAAACAGTTTGGTGAGCTGTGTCGAAATTCTTGACTTAGCCAGCGAGAGACCCAAACCAGATCCGGGAAGTGATGGGCTTCTGACCTTCTTCATGTCCCTTTAGCTGTTACTCATGATCATGTTGGGAAAAACAGATAAAGGGGTTCGGTGACACCCCCCTCCCCAAACTGGTCTTCAAGGGGCGAGCAGGAACTTCTGGTTTTTATAGAAAAAGGAAACAAAGAGGAGTGGGGTTTGTGGAGATGACAACGGAGGCAGTCTAGTCAGGCCTGGGACCCATCTGTCACCTCAGCTCTGAGAAGCCGTCATCACTTGGGTGGAGCACTCCGGTTCCCGTAAGATGACGGGTGCTCACTCCTGCTCCAGGGTCAGTTCCCATCAAGGAGGTGCTGTTGGGTGATCTCATCCTGGGGGTGGAGTGGAGGCTTAGTGTCCTCCCTTGTCATAAATCAGTCCTGTCTTCCCGGGAACTCAAAGTAACCCAGCTGGGAGTGAGACCTGCGGGAAACTAAAGAGGTTACAGTCAGAGGGGCCGTCCAGCCAAACGAAAGCAGCGGCTCCCTGAACAGAGAAGGTTAACGCTGACGGGATAGGACTAATGTAGTGCCCTGCTCTTTTCATTGTCTTGGTTTCTCGTGACAGGGTTTCTCTGTGTAGCCCTGGCTGTCCTGGCTGTCTTGGAACTCACCTTGTAGACCAGCCTGGCCTGGAACTCGGAGACCCACCTGCCTTTGCCTCCTGAGTGCTGGGATTAAAGGCGTGTGCCATCACTGCCCAGCTGGTTTGGTTTTTTTAGATGTATTTATTTTTCTTAAAGATTCCTTTATCATTTTATATGTGTGTGTCTGTGCAGTGTGTGCAACGCCCAAGGAGGCCAGAAGAGGGCAGCACTGTCACAGGTGGTTGTGAGCTGCCAAGTGGGTGCTGGGAACTGAACCCGTGTCCTATGCAAAAGCCACAACTGCTCCTAACCTCTGTACCATCTCTCCGGCCTCAAGGTTTGCTTTGTTTTTAATCATTTGGATGTGGGGAGGGGGTGCCCATGTGAGTGCAGGGGCCCTTCGAGTCCAGAAGAGGGCGTCAGAGCCCCTGGTCTGGAGTTACAGGCAGTTATGAACCACTCCGGATGCTCTGGAAGAGCAGGAAGAGCTCTTGACATCTGAGCAGGCTCCCCAGGCCCTGCAGCCTGCCTTTTTTTTTTTTTTTTTTTTTTTCTCTCTGTGTAGTTTTGGAGCCTGTCCTGGATCTTGGTCTGTAGACCAGGCTGGCCTCGAACTCACAGAGATCCGCCTTCCTCTGCCTCCCAAGTGCTGGGATTAAAGGTGTGTGCCACCACTGCTGGGCGAGCCGCCTTTTTAAGTAGCCAGGTGGGAGCGTGAGGTTCAATACAGCCATAAGCCCATCTCAGACGGAAACATCTGCGAACCAGCAGAGGGTCCGGGGAACCTGCACAGGCCGTGAACACAGACACTGGGCCCCAAAGCTATAAAAAAATAAAATAAAATAAGATAAGCGGAGTTTAACTCAAATGCTGTGAATTTACATGAGCTCGGGAGCCCCCGCCCTTCCCGCTTGTGAGGACTGGACTGGGCTTTGAGGGCACAGCTTCTGTTTAAGAATATCCATGCCCATAAATTTAGCTTTGCAGGCTCAAGCATCAGGCTTAAGTGCAGGTATAAAAAGGACCCAGGCAAGGCCAGGTTGGCACCACAGGTCTGTGTCTCCCCCGTTCAAGCTCTAGAAGCTGCTCCTCCACCACAGTAGAATTGCGGCGGCCCTTCTGTCCTCTCTTGTCCTTCTTCAGGATCATGAGACGGCACACCTGGGAGCCACTGACATGGAGTGACTTAAGTGGCCAGGGAGCTTCCAGGGCTGGTTCTCTGACGCAAGCCATCTGAGCCAAGAAAAGGATTCCTCCACACCCAGGGATCCCTGCAACACTTGGATGACCTGCAGGGGGAGCTCCTGAAGAAGAAGAGCAAATGAACGTGCTTCTTAAGACCGCATTGGGACCGGAGAGATGACTCAGTGGTTAAGAGCACCTGCTGCTCTGCCTGAGGACCTGCGTGGGACTCCCACGATGACTTACAAACCATCTGTAACTCCAGTTCCAGGGGATCTGATGATATCTGGCCTCTGTAGCCACTGGCTCACACACCTACAGGCAAGCTAAAGAACAATACACATAAAATGAAATTGAGAAAATCTTAAAAGAAATACTTTTCTTCGGTATCACAACCCCCGCACAATTTTTAAGGCCCATGATTCTATCATAACATCACTGTCAATCAGTCAACTTCAGGGTGGAAGTTGACCCAAAACAGAGCCAGGATTACTGGGAAGGTCAGATGAATCCCCCTCTTTCTCTGACCCCGAGAATGTCAATTCTGCACTAATCCAGTTTCCTTTTACAGACTGAAATCCTGTGAAAGCGGGGAGGCAGCCAGTACTTCTAGCGAAGGTCACTCTCTGGTGCCACCTGAAGACTCCGACCAGAACCCAACAATCCAGCTGGAAGCCATACCGGGCAATCTCGCAGCTTCTACGGATTCCGGGCATCTTCGTGCCACAAGTTGAGC